AAAGTTAATTAAGACAAAAGTTAACTAAGTATACTGTATGGGCTTTCAAATCCAACGGTACAATTTTTACTCATGAATGCTAGAGTTATGGTGTAGCTAGATATTCTTGGTGGCACATGTTATCTACTTTTGTGTGATGTAAAATTAAACAAAGGCATGTGTTTTTTTAGTAATAAGTTTTTTATATACTTGCCGTTTGGTCTTTTACTCGCTCTTGTCCTACTGTCCTTAACAGCTGTCTGAAAATTAAAGAAGAAATATGCATTTGTTCTGTCTTCTTAGATTTCAGAGCAACCAGAATTTGGCAGTGTTTATTTAAATGCAGTCTTAATTTTGAAGTCTATTTTCTGTAAGTTTAAAAAAAAATCCTTGCATTTGGTATAGCATCCTTCACATTGGCAGGCTGTTTCAAAGAGCTTCACAGGATTTGCTATAAAGTGTAGAACCATATAATTATAGAAATTTACAGCACAAACGATGCCATTCGGCCTATTATATATGTGCTGACTCTTTTAAAGCGCATTCCCTTCTGTCCGATTTATCTGTTCTTTCCCTAAACACTATAATTTACTCCTTTTTATCTTAAATATCCATCTAATTTCCTTTTAAAGGCTAACAGTGTATGGATTCTGCCTCAATGACTGCTCCCAGTAGGGCATTCTATAATCTAACCACTCTGTGCGTGAAAACATTTCAAGTCACTGACTCACTGACCAGTGAAAATAGCTTCTCTTTATTGGCTCTATCAAATTTCCTCTTTAAAGACCTCTATCAGCTCATCCTTAAATCTTTTTTGTTCCAGCGGAAAAAGAGTCAATTCTTCCAGTTTCTAGTCATAGGCCAAACTGCTCATCCCCAGCACCATCCTAGTAAATCTCCTCTGCCCCCCACCCCACCCCCCTAACAACAACTTGAATTTATATAGTGTCCTAATAATAATAATAATAATAATCCTTGCATTTGATATAGCACTTTTCACGTCGGGAGGACGTCCCAAAGCGCTTCACAGAACACACTGTAAAGTGAATTGACTGTATATTTGTGGGCGAACGCGGCAGCCAATTGCGCACAGCAATGTCCCACAAACAGTCGTAGATTAAAAATGACCAATCTATTATTGTTTTTGGTTTTGGAGGGATTATTATTAGGCGTGTGGAGTAAGGAAACTTGCCCAAGGTTTCGCCCTCTGCCTGGAATTGAACTCAGGTCTCTCACTTGCAAAGCGAGTGCTCTAACCACTGAGCTACAGGACTCCACACCTGGGGTAGCATCTCAGAGCTCTTAAATTACCTTGATGTTCTTCTTGGGTGACCAAAACTGAGCACAAAATTCTAACTGCAGTTGCCAAGCACTCTGGGATGCCACCCTGCATGAGGGGCGCTATGAAAATGCAAGTTGTTGTTGTTGGTTTAATTTTATATTGCGTTCAGCTATTTATAAAACCTAGGATTCCAATTGCTTTCCAGACAGCTTTGTCCACCTGCCTTCCTTAAGGGTTTATGCACATTAAAACCTAGGTTGCTCTGCTTTTCCACTCCTTTTAACATTTTAGCACCTTATTTTTCCTCCCAAAATGTAAAAGTCCACATTAAATTTAATTTGCCATTTCTCTGCCCAATCAATTAATCAGTCTTTATCCCCCTGAAGTTGCTTCAATCATTTTCACTGTTAGCTGCACTCCCTATTTTTGTAGCATCTGCAAATGTAGAAATTGTTCTCCTTAAACAGGAGTGTAGCGACTATGTATTTTGTAGGCAAACGTGACAATCAATTTGTGTACGGCAATGTCCTGCAAACAACTTAAAAGTTTATTCAAGAAGTACAGAAAAACAGCTTAAAAGTTAAGGCTGAGTTCAAGGATTTGACAAATTCTGCATTTTTGAAAGGCTCAGAAAAATAGAGTAAATCTATTTTTAAGATCTAGACTTCCGTTTTTTTTCGTTATCCCATTTTTAGTTTGACTTCCTAAATTGGAAAGTATGCAACCTGCAAGTTTGGAGATGAGTTCTTGTTTCAACTCCCAAGCAAAATTGTTATAACTTTATTTCTGGCTTACTGGACTTTTGGTAATTATACAGTAAACTCCTAATAACTGTACCTTAGCTTAATTTATCACTACCAGTTAATTCATCGTGGTATCAATATCCCGGCTGCATTTAATTATGTATTGATACACTTACTTACCTTACTTGCCACTCAGGATAACTGAGCTCTTTTCCCTTGGATTGACGAGTTATCAGGAGTTTAATAATCCTTGCATTTGATATTTGCATTTGACATAGCGCTGTTTCACGTCATCAAGACATCACAAAGCGCTTCACAGGATATACCGTAAAGTAGATTGATTGTGTATTCTGTGGGCAAAACACGGCAGCGAGTTGTGCAGAGCAATGTCCCATAAAACAACCATAGAGTGAGTGATCAGTTTTATTTTGGGGGTTTGTTTAACCATGACTTGGGGAGAAATTCCTTTTAACTTTCGAATAGTGTCATGGGATCTTTAACCTCTATCTGAACAGACATTCAGGACCTTGGTTTAACATCTTATTTGAAGAACGGCACCGCCGACAATGCAACAACCCCCAGAGCTTGGAGTGACGAGGTATCAGGAGTTTACTTTAAGTTACAGCTGCTCTCTCACATTGTTTGTGCTGCAAAAAGAAGAGCAGTGCCTTGTGATCTCAGTAAGCTTTGTATTTTTTAAATATCTCTGTGGACTTCAACCACCAACATGAGCTTCAGAACTCTGCAGCTCGTGTAAGTCCGGCACCAGGCTTCGCGACCACATTACTCCCACCCTCGCTCGCCTCCACTGGCTCCCCATCCCCCAGAGGATCGAATTCAAGATCCTCATCCTCACCTACAAGGCCATTCACGGCCTCGCTCCCTCCTACTTCTCTGACTTACTATCCCCCTACCTACCTGCCCGTACCCTCCGTTCCTCTGGCTCCGGTCTGCTCCGCATCCCCTGCCCTAACCGCCCTACCATCGGTGGCCGGGCCTTCAGCCTCTCAGCCCCCAGGCTCTGGAACTCCATCCCCCAGTGCCTTCGTCTTGCTTCCTCCCTTTCCTCCTTCAAGGCCGGTCTCAAGACCTTTCCCTTCAGCTCCCTTCAGCTCCCCTCTCGACTCTCTACCCCCTCCTCGCTTCCTCCCTTCCCTCCCCTCACCCTCAACTGTCCGGCACCTTGGGACGTCCTCCCGACTTGAAAGGTGCTCTATAAATGCAATCTTTTTGTTGTTGTTGTTGATGGAACTTACTTTATGACTTCTCAATGCAATCTCAATCTTCAACACTGAATTCTCAAGAGATATTGAGGTCTGATGTATGCTGTTTGGCATTGGGTGCAAATTTGAAAAATCTCATCATAAACAAAGGACAATAGGTTTGTTAATATTGGAAAACAACAAATATTTCTGTTTCCACATGGTTGCTTGCAATATTGCTGGTCTGTATTGAATGTATCTATAATTGTGACCAGTTGTATTAACTCATTGACTGTGATAGAATATAATACAAAATTATATTTGTAAAGCCCTTTCATGCTGGGAGGACATCCCAAGGCGCTGAAAAGTCAGGGATTTGGATCCGAGCTGGTGGGAGGGTGGAGGATCAGGAGTGGTGGAGGGCAGAGAAGTTACGAGGGTGGCAGAAGGCACAGGACAATTGGAGAGTCTTGAGACGTGCCTTGAAGGAGGCAAGGGAGGGAGCAAGGCAAAAGGAATGTGGGGTGGAGTTCCAGAGGTTGGGGTCAAAGAGGATGAAGGCTTGACTGCTGATGGTGTGCTGGGCCGCGCCGCGGACATGGAGCAGGCTGGAGTCTGCTGAGCAGAGGGAGCGGACAGGTTGATAAGGGGTAAGGTCGGAGAGGTAGGAGGGGGCAAGGCCATGGAGGGCCTTGAAGGTGAGGATGAGAATTTTGAACTTGATCCTCTGAGGGATGGGGAGCTAGTGGAGCCGGATGAGGGTGGGTGCGATGGGGTCATGGAACCCAGTGATGGTGAGGACACACGCTGCAGAGTTCTGGATGATCTGCAGTTTGTGGAGGGAAGGTTGACAAGCAGGGCATTGGCATAGTCGAGCCTGGTTGTAATGAAGGCATGTATGAGGGCTTCGACGGCCTGAGGGGTGAGACAGTGGCGGAGCTGGGCAATGTTGTCGAGGTGGGGGAAGGCAGAGCGGGTAATGTCACGGATGTGGGGAAGAAAGGACAGTTGAGGATCGAACAAGATGCCTCGGTTCCTGACTGGCTTGGTGAAGTGGAGTGTGCATCCGTGGATGCTGATGCTGCCAGTGCCAAGGTGCGGAGGCGCTGATGCGAGCCAATCAGGAGAGCCTTGGTCTTGCTGACGTTAACTGTAGAAAGTTGGCTGTCATCTAGGACGATGTCTGACAGACAGTCTGTCAAGACAACAGTGGTACTGGGGTCAAGGGTGGAGGCAGAGAGATAAAGTTGAGCGTCAATTGGGTACATGTGGAAGTTGACCCCATGGTTGTGGATGATGTCACCAAGAGGGAGCGTATACAGGTTGAAGAGGAAAGGACTGAGGGCAGAGCCCTGAGGAACACCGCACATGATGGTGTGGGAGGCTGGAGGAGAAGCCATTTGTGGAGACAAAGTGGGGCCGGTGTGAGAGATAGGATCTGAACCATTCAAGGACAGAACCTTGAAGATTAAGGTGAGAGGAAAGGCGGTGGTGAAGGATAGAGTGGTCCACAGTGTTAAAAGTAGCAGAGAGGTCGAGGAGGAGTACGAGACAGGAAATTGAAAGGATTAGTTGAGGTATCAGCCATGACCTAATTAAATGGCGGAACAGGCTCGAAGGACTGAATGGCCGCCTCCTGTTCCTATGTTCCTATGTTCCTAATCCATTAGGTATTAAAAGAAAGATAACCTTTTAATCTAATTCAAGCTTTCTGACATACGGTTAAAGAGTTCGATATCATAACAATTGCATATGTTTTCAGGCATTCATTGCTTTCATTTCTAACTTGTTTAGAAAAGATGGGCTGTGCAAATAGCAGTGACAATAGCAACCAAAACTCTGACTTAAACCAAGGTAAAGAACAAAAAGTACCGGCCTTACCCTTCAGAGATCTCCTATCAAGTCCAGTTTCAAAAAATGTGAGTATAACTCAAAGAAGACTTTGTATTTATTTTTTGTTTAGGATTTTAAGACATCTTCCTGAAGTATTTGTTTTTTTACATAGTTTAATATTCGTTCTTCCATCTCCAAGTTTGTCGCTTTATCTATGCATTCTTTATAATTTGGGAAACACACTGTAGACATCTCCATAAATATTGTTAAACGTCAGCTTGAGACATTTGTAATGGTGTGGAAGGGGATTTCTTCCTTCCTTTTTTGGTTACAAGCACAAATTTTACACAAATGTAGCTTTGTTAATATAATAGGTCCACGTTGGAATATCTTGCTTTGATTATGAAATGCACCTGACTCAGTTGGTGAATAGATGGAATAGTCAATATTAGTAATTGTTACAAAGCGTTCACTGAGTAATGAAATAGCCGAATAGTTCCAGCATCAATTTGACCCATATCAATGTGTCAAATACAATACTGCTTTCAGCAGTTATGTTGCTATTCATGTAACTCTTGTAAAAGGTCCTTTAAATATGCAATTCAGCTTCTTGACAACTTCTTACTTGGTAGATAACTTACATATTTTACAAAAATCTATTAATCTATTAATCAAAAATAAAGGGACAGTTTTCCTCTGGCTGTTCCATTAAATAAAATATAATCTGTAATATTCCACAAATAAATTTAGACACATTGATCTCAAAGCTTCTGAGTATGCATTTTTAGGATCAGGTTCCAGGTAATCTTCTTCAACCATCTTCTAAATATCGCATACCGAGGCCTTAAATTTCACCTTTAACCTGTCAAAATATAAAAAATAAGATGATTTAGAATAGGGGAAATTCTTCAATTCAGTCACACTTTTGAAGCTGGTTCTTTTCAAGAAATGTGGAGCAGCTACTTCCAAATAGGACGGTATTCAAGAATTACCACAATTTTGAGCCACCTTCAATTCGAAAATAAAATAATCTAGTCTAAAACAAGGTGCAGATTTAGGTATTGGGGGATGATATACTGCTTGCCAGTAAGTGTTATAACTTTGACAATGATCACTTCACTTATAATGGATTTTCATGTTGGAGGTGTCGTTCTTTGGATGAGATGTTAAACTGAGGTCCCATAAGCCTGTTGAAGTGGATGTAAGAGATCCCAACTATTCCAAAAGAAAGGGGAGATTCTGGTTAATATCCTCCGGATAAAATGGGTCATTGACTTCACGGCTGTTTGGACTACCTCCAGATATAAAAGGCCTTATTTAAGTATTCATTGTGTTGAGTTGTATTGTTTGTGTAACATAAATATACGCAAATTGGCTGCTGTGTCTGACAAATACATGGTACCACATTTTATGGAAAAACGGAAGTGTTTTGAGATTTTTCAATGTGATAAGATGCCATTTCGACTGCAAGAATTATTATTATACTACAATTATAAAAATATTAAAAAATTGAATTTTGTGAAACATCAGACTCTACAAATACTCAATTAGAGCATCGGTGTTTACATATGTTTGATGTGATCAACAAGAAATATCCTTGATTAAAACACTCGCTTTTTATTGCAGGTTCATTTTGATGAAAGCATTGAATCTAATGGTAAGTTTGTTTTCCCCTTTGTATACAAATACCATGAATAAATACCACTGAGAGCCTGTGATAGATATTTAGCAACTGGGAGATGAATTACACATATAATTTAATATCGAGAAATGTACGATAAAATATACTAATACTACAGTATAAAAGAAATATGTACATCAAGCTTAGAAGTTTGAAGTACATATTCTGCCTGTTTAAGTGCATACTGAAGATCCCATGGTAATATTTAAAAAAAGAAGAAAGTTTCTCCCAGTGAGCTGGCCAACAATCCTTCAGATTAATTATGATAAATAATAAGAATAATCCTTGCATTTAATATAGCATAGATTTTATCACATCGTCTCAAAGTGCTTCACAGATTATATGTAAAGTGGAGTGATTGTATATTTTGTGGGTGAAAACGCGGCAGCCATTTGCTCACAGCAGTGCGCAAACAGCCATGGAGTGAGTGACCAATTTTATTTGGACGATTGTTGGCCAGAACACTGGGAGAAACTCCCTTCACTTTTCAAATAGTGCCATGGGATCTTTAACATCACCTGAATAGGCGGATGAGACTTTAGTTTAACTTTGAACTTCTGAAAGCTCAACTATTCAATGTGAACCTGAACTCTGGACGTACACTCGCCAAAGTTAGTTGAAACCAAATTTGCATTTCAAATACTGATCTGTATTGATGCAGCTCATTGAATGTTAAGCATTTCAGAATGCTAAAGTGCTGTCACCCCAGAATGTTTATCGAGTCTATTGTGTACTGTTGGGCTTGGTGCCTTTTCTTTTTCTACCAGCACCATCTTACATTTCAGCCATTAAAAACTTGAATACTTTTCAGCAGAGCATTTTCATTCTTTACTTGCTCCTGTAACAGGGACTGGAAAAACAATTAGAGCAGAGAGCACCTTGATGTTTCACAGTACTATGATCTTCCATCTGCTGACCTGAATATTCCTCCCTATGTTCTTAAAATGCAAGTCATTATTGAGAGTTAATATGTAATAATAATAATAATAATCCTTGCATTTGATATAGCACTTTTCACGTCGGGAGGACGTCCCAAAGCGCTTCACAGAACACACTGTAAAGTGAATTGACTGTATATTTGTGGGCGAACGCGGCAGCCAATTGCGCACAGCAATGTCCCACAAACAGTCGTAGATTGAAAATGACCGATTTATTATTGTTTTTGGTTTTTGGAGGGATTATTATTAGGCGTGTGGAGTAAGGAAACTTGCCCAAGGTTTCGCCCTCTGCCGGGAATTGAACTCAGGTCTCTCACTTGCAAAGCGAGTGCTCTAACCACTGAGCTACAGGACTCCGATTGCAAATGATTGCAAACGCATGATTTGATCACTGGAAAATGACTTGCCAATGTTGCCATAGAATAAAAAATGAGCCAACCAGTAATGGAATTTTTCTATTAATCATAACTTTTTTATTAATGTTTTGTGGAACTGTGAAGTATGGCTGAAAGAAAAGATGAATAGTGTTAATTCAGTTTGCTGTAAATAGGACAGAGGGAATAAACTTAGTACAACGCTAAGGCAAGGCAGCGGGACTAGAGGGTACAAGTTCAGGGGTAATAAAGGGCATTTTCATGGCAGACACCAGGAAATATTTCTTTACACAGAAGGTAATTAACAGGTGGAATGTATTATTAGGAAATGTAGTTGAGGCTAGGATACTGAATGCATTAAAGACACAGGCTAGTGCTGTAATGGGAAGACCCTAGGGATTTCCTTAAAGGATGAGATCAATTCAATTAGCTGAAGGGCCTTCTGCATCAGTACCTCTCTTGTGATCTTGCAGACATGGTAGTAGTCTCTGTCTATTACATGACTGGGTTCTTTAAACCTCATGCTATTTATGGAAGCTTGTGTCATGAGGTTAGTCACATTTTTATCAACCCAATTTTGACAATCCCAGAGAATTCATGTACCACTTTGAGGCATAATTCCACAGTCCCATCTGGAAGATAATGTAACTGTGTGCTATTGTAAATATATAGGGCAGTTCCTTTATTTGTATTCCCGGGTGGAGTGAAACCTTAGGCAAGTTTCCTTACTCCACACACCTCTGTTTACCTAAATAGGAACTCGGTTGTTCGTCGATTGGCGGATTGCTTTGCGGGGATAATAATTCCTTCAAAAATAATAACTTGGTCACACAATCCATGACTGTATGTGGGACACCGCTGTGCGTAATTGGTTGCTGGGTTCACCCACAAAATACATTGTCACTCCACTTTACAATATATTCTGTGAAGCACTTTGAGACATCTCAAAGACGTGATAAGGCGCTATATCAAATGCAAGGATTATTATTATTTGATTATTATGTATTGTAACTGGGCAACATGTGACCTGTGTGAACATTATAGCAGTCCAGAACAAGAGAACAGAGCAGGAAATCCAAAATTAAATAAATGTCCTTTGTGCTGATAGATTAAGATGGCTCAAAAGGAGCCAACATATCAGATTTGAAGTGGTTGCAGATTATTCTCTAAATTTATGACAAAAAAAATACAGCATCAATACTGAGAATGGATATTGAGTTTGTTTAAAGTCAGTCTTAATCGTGAGCGGAGGTAGGAGAGCGTGGGGTGAGGTAAGTGATGCGGTGGTGCGATTCACAAAATGACGTTGGCGTGACGTCATAGTTAAATGTTTTTTNAAAAATTACATTTTTTGTATAAACCCAACAACAACAAAAACAATGGCCCGGCAGCTCCTGGCACTGCCATCCCGGCCATGCCTGGGAGGCTGAGCCTGAGGGCTGATGCCGTCCCACTGATCTCTCGCTCCCTGTCTCTGTGTGCGCGTTTTGGCTGCCGGCACGACCCGAGCCTCCCCCTCCACTCCTCCACTCCTGGACGAGCACTTTGACATTCTTGGGCTCACCGAAACCAGGCTCTCCCCCAATGAATCTGTCCCCCTAGTTGAAGCCTCCAATCAAAGGCTACACCTTCCACCACACCCCCCGTCCAAACCAACGTGGCGGCGGGGTGGCCTTCATTTCCAAAGCCTCCCTTGGTCTCACCCCCTACTCCTCTGGCTGCTTCCCCTCCTTCGAGCACCTCACCCTCTTGTATCCCTCTCTCCCTTTAAAAATCCTCCTTGTCTACCGCCCCCATAAGCCCCCCAGCTCCTTCCACACAGACATCTCTACTCTCTTCTCTTCCCCGTCCCTCTGCTCCGAACGCCTACTCATAATGGGTGATTTCAACCTCCACCTAAACTCCCCTTGCACCACTTCTGCTGATTTCACTGCCCTCCTCTCCTCCCTAAACCTTATCCTCCATATAAATTCACCCACCCACAACCGTGGTCATGCACTTGACCTCATCATCACACATGGCCTTGATATTTCCGACCTCAGCATAGTGGACAAGGCCATCTCGGACCACTTTTTCATCTCCTTCTCCTCTCACATCCCTCTCTCCTCCACCAAGCCCTCAACCATCCTCTACCGCCCTTGGAAAAAGCTACCCCCTGAGACCCTCACAAAGGCCCTCTCATCATCAAACATCCTATCCCTCTGGCCTTCCACCCACGGAGATCCTGAAGCAGCTGTCCAGCTGCTCCATGATTGCCTCTCCTCAACCTTCAACTCCCTCGTCCCCCTAAAATCTAGGACCATCTCCAAACCCACCCAATTCCCCTGGTACAACAACCATCTCCTCCGCCAAAAAACCCAAACCAGTCTGCTTAAGCGCAGATGATGGAACGCTGGCCTGACAATCCACCGCCAACTGAGGCTCGAGCATCTCTACAACAACCGCTGTTCTTTGACACGCGCAAAAACGGCCTTCTACTCCAACATCATCTTGGAGGCTAAACACAACCCTAAAATCCTTTTTTCTACCACCCACTACTTCCTCCTTGCCCTCCCTCAGGCCTCCTCAATCTTCGTATCAAATGCCAAGTGCGAGGAGGTCATGGACTTCTTTTCATCTAAAATACTTAACATCTGCCAGGCAGCCTCATCCACCTGCCCCTTGTCACCCACCACCAGGCCCTCTCTGTCCCCCTCACCTTCCTCATCATCTGCTCCTACTACAACAACAACAACAACAAGATTGCATTTGTAGAGCGCCTTTCATGTCGGGAGGACGTCTCAAAGCGCTGGACAGTTGGGTTGGGACCCGAGCAGGGGGGAAATGGTCAGGGTGAGGGGAGGGAAGGGAGGGAGCGAGGAGGGGGTAAAGAGTTGAGAGAGGGGCTGAAGGCACGGTCAAAGAGAAAGGTCTTGAGACCAACCTTGAAAGAGGAAAGGGAGGAAGCAAGACGAAGGCACTGGGGGATGGAGTTCCAGAGCCTAGGGGCTGAGAGGCTGAAGGCCCGGCCACCAATGGTAGGGCGGTTGGGGCGGGGGATGTGGAGCAGACTGGAGCCAGAGGAACGGAGGGTACGGGCAGGGAAGTAGGGGAATAGTAGGTCGGAGAGGCAGGAGGGAGCAAGGCCGTGAATGGCCTTGTAGGTGAGGATGAGGATTTTGAATTCAATCCTCTGGGGGATGGGGAGCCAGTGGAGGCGAGCGAGGGTGGGAGTGATGTGGTCGCGAAGCCTGGTGCGGGACAGTACACGAGCTGCAGAGTTCTGAATGACCTGCCGGGAAGGCTGGCGAGGAGAGAGTTCCCGTAGTCCAGCGTTGAGGTGATAAAGGCGTGGATCAGTGTTTCAGCAGCGTGAGGGGTGAGGTAGTGTCGTAGTCTGGCGATGTTCCGTAGGTGGTGGAAGGCAGTGCCTTGTGGCGCGGATGTGGGGAAGAAAGGACAGCTCAGGGTCGAACAGAACACCGAGGTTCCTGATGGCTTTGAGAGGTGGAGAGTGCAGCCTTGGATGCTGATGCTGTCAGCGCCTGAGGTGCGGAGGCGCTGACGTGAGCCAATCAGGAGTGCCTCAATTTTGCGCACGTTGAGCTGAAGAAAGTTGTCTCTCGTCCAGGACTCAATGTCGGACAGGCAGGCTGTCAGGACATCGGTGGTCGTGGAGTTGAGG